TGAAAAACAAATTCAAGCCCAGGGTGGCAATACTTAAAGATAGTTTGGGTAGAATATTGAATAATTCAGGAAGTATCAAAAGAAGATTGAAGGAGTACACAGAGTCACTGTATCAGAAGGAATTGGTTGACACAGAAGAATTTCATGAAATAACGTATGAGCAAGAGCCTATAGTGATGAAGGAGGAAGTGCAAATTGCTCTGAAGGAATTGGCAAAAAACAAGGCTCCAGGAGTTGATGGCATACCAATTCACAGGTTTCAACAAACAGACAGTGCCCTGGATGTGCTCACTAAGTTGTGCCAAGAAATCTGGAGGACAGCAAGCTGGCCAACTGATTGGAAAAGATCAATTCCATAGAAAGGTGACCCAACAGAGTGCGGAAATTATCACGCAATATCATTAATATCACATGCAAGCAAGATTTTGCTGAAAATTATCCAAAAACGTTTAGAACAATATGTCTTTTTGGCATAGTAATGTATATATTCTTCCTGTAATCTTTTGCTAATTTCTGAATCCATCAATAATTTCTCCACAGAATCTTTCAGTACTGTATTTTCTAAACTTTGCACAATTCGTTAGAATTCTCAGCTTTTTTTCTCAAGCTGCCTTTTGAAGTCTTTGTTTATGCCTTTTATTTCATCTTACTTCTCTTCATTTTCGATTGTCCACATTGAAAATTAAGTTTCAGAGCCCCATGAACTATTATTTCAACTGTTTTTCTTTCCTGCCCTATCTAGGGCCATCCTCACCATCTTGAACCTACTGCTGAATTCACTGTGTCAATTTTCCTAACCTTTACTATCCCTCCACCTTTCCAAGCATGATGCCTCTCTCCAGTGTATGTGAGATAAAGTTTCCCCTTCTTCGCCTCCAAAGAACACTCTGACTACACCTTTTTCAGACATATGTTTGTTATTTTGACAGTCTATGGGATATTTAGCACTCTTCTCCCTTCGAAGAGTCCTGTGAAATGAACAAGAGAACACTGCATGGTTTAAAATTATGAAAGGCGTATGTCACGGTTGTATTCATTCTCCATGAATTTATACTTGGTGCTGAGTAAATCATTTGAGAACTCAAATGTACAATATTCACAACAACTAGCTGTTCTGTTGGATAATAATATGAAGTCTCTGTTGTTGGGATAAGAGAGAGAGAAAGAGAGAGAGATAGAGAGAGAGAGAAATTATTCTTGCTATTTCAATATCCAACTCATTTATGCATTGCCATCAAGTTCAAACTTGCTCATAGATGACCCTCCAGCAGGTTTTCAGCAGCTTTAAATTGAGGACTGAATATTTTGTGATTATTAACTAGTCAGTTTGAAGCAGAAATATGACTATCATACAAGATAGGTTTATATATCCCCAAACAAATGTGTTCATACTATCATTAAAACCTCAAAACTAAACTTAATGCAATCAAATTTAATCTGATTCACGGTGATTCTGTGGAATTGTCTCACAAGTTTTCAAGACTGTGCAAGCTTACAGAAGCAGATTGCAAGATACATTTTCCACAGACTTGCTGATGGCTTCCAACGACTGATTTTTTTTTCTTTAGCAGCTTAACCATTGTACCACCATGACTCTTATGTTATTGATATCTTTGTAAAAAAAAAATCTATGTGAGAGTCTGGACCTTTCTGAAGAAAAGGCACCAAGATAGAGCTATGCTTATTTTGGATTTTTTAAAAAGCATGTATAAAAGAGAAAATCCTGACAGACCTGGAGAAATTAAACAAAGTGGAAGTAAATTTAAACAAAATTTTAAACAAAGTATAACAAATTCTGTCTCTGACTCAATAAATTAATAAAAAATTAATAAAAGGAGAAAGAGTACACAAACCATTCTCAATTTTCATTCACACCAACCATGTCTAGCAAAGTCATCAGAACTTCCTCCAGAAACGTTTCCTGTGAAACAATCCCACATCTCCCAGGAAAGGGAACATCTCAGTGTTGCTGCCCACTCATTCCTACATTCTGAATGATCCAAAGTATGAATGCGTAAGGCACAAACTTGGTGATGGAGTTATAGGTGTAATGTAATAAATATCCAGATTCTATCAACTTCCTATAATGAAATGGAAAGAACAACCTTTGTGTGGAAAGGAAATAGTTTTCCAATTAAGCAAAGCATTTCTGAAAATGAATGGGACACTGAAGATCTCACATTCCCCCAATTTACATCATTCCCTCACAGTCATAGAATTCAAAATAGGTTGGCCCTGATACAGTGACAGAAAAACAAACCATGAAAGCAGAATTGAGAACTTCTAAGAAATTATATCCATGGCAGCAAACAATAATTTGGAGAAAATACTCTAGCACCTTCTCCTGAAAAAAATTGGGAATATATTTGAAGAGAAACAAAACAAGATCCATATCTGATACAATACACGAAAATTAACTCAGAATGAGGAAATGTCCTGAATGTAAAGCTTAAAACTAAAAAGTTGATGAAATAAAAACCCCAAGAATAAAGTTGGGGCTGAATTTGCAGCACATGTAGACTAACATCACAAAAATGGACAAAGAGAAAATATTAGAGACAAATAGGACTTTTAGAAAAAAAATTTTTCTCAGGTGTATCAAATGACTTTTCAATTAGAGGAAAGAAAAGAGTCTTAAATATGAGGAAAATAATAGTAAATAACATCTCCAACAACACATGAATCTATTGTTTTTGTTGTGTGTCATGGCGTCTGAATCAAGCCATAGTTGACCTTCCAGTATGGTTTCCCAGGCAGCAAATTACATGGAGGAAATAGCAAATCATTTTCCGGCAAAGCAGTTGGGTTTTTGGAACCATGTGCCTTTGAGATTGCATCACAGCTTCTCATCAATACACTAGGAAAATAATTTTATTCTATGATTCTACTACTAGATATATATCCAAAGAAATAAAAGTAATTACAAGAACAGATATAAGCATAATCTTGTATTTCCTGTTCTTAACACCAGTGTGCAGATTAGCCTAAAAATGGAAAGAACTATGTTGTTGTTGTTGTTGTTGTAGCGACCCTATGTACAACAGCC